TGCTTCCCGCTCCGATTCTAGGTTCTCCTGCCACCACTTGCGTGCCGCCGCTCCTTCGCTCGCTCTCACTAGGGAATCCACTTGTCGACTAGCCCGCTTTTGCTTCGGCTCTGCGAGCCCTCGCCGCTACCGCCACCTCTGGATCAATGATTGTGCTGGCTTCGGGTTGCTGCCAACGCTCGCGTACTTTATCAGTTTCGCGAATTCTCACTGCGGTGTCTTGGTGGTGGGCCCATATTGCAGTTGTGAGCTTTCCACACCGCTGTCTTCGCTACACTACCCACACGCAATACGTAAGGTTGGTGACTAGATCGGCCGGATGGTTCGTAGGGTAGTCATTATAAAAAGATGGGGGGGGGGGGGAGCGGACTAGGATGGAAAGACGCCTGGTGGTGGGCTAACGCATTTGCCATTAGTCTAATTTTATATTTGGTTCCCTATCTACGCTTACGCATACGCGATGAGTGTACCTTGAATTTACTTCTGTGCAAGGTCTACAAGAGAGAATTCGACCTCGCCATAACGACGTCCAACCAGCGTATGCTTTATCTCGGGATGACTGACACGTTTATGGAGTTACGAGAAGCTCATCTTACTAATACTTGTGGCTGAGAAAAACACCGGCGGGGAGCCGCCTTCTGGCCTGCTTACATGCATACCTCGTAACGCAGGCGGAAGAACTGGTCCGCATCCCCGAAGCTCGACGCTTTGCGCTCCAGGCGTGAGCCCTTCCGAACAACATAACGAGAGACATCCATGATGGTCGCCACACGGGAGGAGGCTATTCTAACCTATATGGTCATAAGCCAACTATCTTTATACGAATGTTGCCAGTCTGCACCAAGGGTACACGGCAGCCGCCATCCACCGAAACACTAATTGTTCAAGGCCTTACTTTCTGTGCCGAAACATCACATTTGTGGGGAGATTGCGATTTCACTGGCCGCAGCAGATCTAAAGTCCCGAGTAATTATCACTAACTCCAGGGGCGCCTGCTGAAATGTTGAGGAAGGGTATATTCTATACCATGCCTAAAACATTCTTCATTTTTGCGAGCACACCACGTATTCGACCTTTGGTACCATCGCATGGACTCCGGCTCGTGAGGGTCCTGAGGGAAATGAGACACCCGATGTTGCCGCTCGCGTGATTATTCATTGGTCATCACCTCATCAGCAGCCAGCTTCAGAACCCGATTCCGATCCGGCGCTCACCTTTAAAGAGATCACACCTCTTTATCAATCTTTCTATGGTCTCAATCTTCCCCTTTGTAAAGGCCTCTCAATGGTGAAGGAGCGCTGGCTTCTTTGCCTGTTCACCAATACTATACTGTGTCCAGCTTTACTGAAGTATTTATGTTCGGCCTTCTCGGGCACGTGTCCGCGCTGTTCTGAGGAGTCCTGTGACACCTATCACAAGATTTGGGCCTGCTCCTCAAATTATACTTACCCACCCCACCCCACTTTCACCCGAAAGGACTTGGAAGGTGTCCTGGCCAGCTGCCCCGACCTCCAAGAAGAACAGGCATCGGTGGCTAGATCCCAGGCCGTTGCTCTAGCTGCAAGGATACCGGAGTAGAAATACATACTAGGGTTTGTGAAGGGCGGACTCTTCAGATTCACCCCATCCATATCTCTCACTGTTAATACCATATTAAATGCTTTCCACCACCAAGGTGTTCATGATGAGTAGCTGCGAAAAGATGTGCACTCACTGAGCACCCGGCGATGAGAAAGAAAGTGTGCCAAAAGCGCTCGCGCTTGCCTCGATAACTAGCAAACACGGTGTGTCGAGGCACTTCCCCAAGACAGAGGAGCTTCGCCGGTAAATAATAAAGGTGATGCTCACTTTCGCAGAGGTATGGAAGTAGCCGCTTAGGCTGTTATCAGACCCCGTGTGTAGCTTTCAGTGCACTTAGTGGTACGAAAGAAGAGAGTGTCTGCGTGGGTAGGTAGGAAATAAACATTATTGATGACCGCAAAAATTCATCACCACGCTATCATAGGAGGATCCCTGGCCGCTCTCACATCGGGACGGGAAATCCGAGTCTCATCGACATGTCATGCAGTCACAGCTCATTTGATTTTCAGGCACTCAAGGAACGCTTATAGCGTGTGAAAAAGCGCCGGAATTCTGCTGGTACTACCAAGGCGTGGATTCTAAAACTCTTTGCAGCATTGTTTCGTAAGGCGGTAAGCTGAGATAGTGAGGACATTTCATTCGATGACTACCTGGAAGCATTTTACAGCGCCCCATTAAAAACATGGCAGCATATCCACGGAGTGAATGAAGGAGAGTGGGGCGAAGCATTCGTCCGTCCATTCGTTCTTGCTTCCGTCCGTCCATGCGTCCGTCTGTGTCACCGTACATGCGTCCATCCGTCCGTCCGTGCATACGTCTGTTCGTGCGTCCGTCCCTGCCTTCGTCCATGCATCCGCCCCTGCATCCATCCAAGTACCACCATCTCGCATCTGTTCATCATATATTCCCAAAATGGAAGCACCGCCATCAAGCGGACATTCCAAGGACTAAACGAGAAGTGGCACACGCACACTTTCTTACGGCTTGCGCTTCGGGTCTACTTCCGACCTTTAACCACCTCGAGTTCATGGTATATACTAGTTCACTGTATTCATGGCACTGCGGCCCAACGCTCGCTATACCTTTCTAAAACCAAGGAGGTTACGCCCAGCGAGTATAACGTAGCAACCTTTTTTTTTGTCAGATAGTGCTCAATGGACATGCCAATGGCTGCTAATGGGAAATGAGAGACAGGAGAATTCGGCCTTTACTTTCTTACTGCTTTCGCTTCGTATCTACTTCCCACCTTTAACCACCTCGAGTTCTTGGTATATACTAGTTCATTGTATTTATGGCACTACGGCTCAACGCTCACTAAACCTTCCTAAAACTAAGGAAGTTACACCCAGCGAGTGTAACGTAGCAACCCTTTCTTGTCAGACAGTGCTCAATGTACATGCCAATGGCTGCTAATGGGGAACTAAAAGCCGAATGCTCCTGTCTCTCATTCCCCCTTAGCAGCCGTTGGCATGTACATTGAGCATTATCTTTCATTGTTTAACAACGCACAGAAGAAATCCCACCCCGGCACCACCTTGGAGGTCAAAGTGTTATACTTTTTACACACTACAACGGCTACGAGGGACGAACGGTTGCGGATATAAGGAGTTTTGTCCCTAAAACACCCACACACTTCTTTAGTTCAGCCATGTCTTGTGCCGCGGTAGGCCAAAGCCTTTGAGATGAGGATCTCGTGAATCAAACACGAGCGCATCTCGGGAAAGCGTGGGCAGGTGTGTTAGCAAAGTGGTTCAGAAGAGGCACTTGATCTCTCTCTAGCCACTCCAGCGCTATCCCCCCCGCCCCTCCTTCCGTGGTGGAACACTTCGTACCACCCATGAAGTCTGGCCTGCGGCCACACGTGCAAGAAATCCTGAATTGGATGTGCTATCATTCCTGCATTTGTTTATAAAGCCTTAGGAGCTGTTCAAAAACACAATACATTATTCAAATATAAAGTCGGCGTAATTTCTGTCATATTTTTTTTAAATATTGGCAATTTTATTATGGAACATCTTTTTTCATCACAAAGCTCAAACGTGTGGTGGACATACGCTTTATTGTTCCGAGATTAGCCGAGGCTGAAGTAGGTGACTGAGTTTTGAAGAGCCCTCTGGTATAGCAAAATCTGCAAAAGTAAAAATTACTGAGTTATTGTAACATTTTGCACATAAATAACAAATTTCAAAATAATTTTGCTCAATTTTGTTTCATTTCCTTGAACTGGTGTAAATCATACTTGTATTTTCTCTCTCCATTTTATGGATAGAAAAAACAAATCATAATACTTAAATAAATAAAAATCAATATGGCTTATTCAACAAAAAATACTGAGATATCGTTTTCGTACACCTTCCCGATAGATATTATCAGGAAGGCCGAGGAATCTTTTGAAAATTGATCATTGATACTATATCTCATCTTCCATTGCGATGACACTTCATCCAATCCAGTCGATCAATATAAATATGCCTGACCTAGAAAATGGTTTAATGTTTATTTTCTGTTGGCTATAAATTACAATGAGCACATAGAGCCGCCATATTGACTGGCCCTGTAGAAAATAAGCTGTCTATCAACTGTTTCATTGACTGCCATAAATATACAATCAAATATCACCTTGCCAGCCGCAAGTATATTGCCTTGGGCGAAAAGAACTGGCAAGCACGCGTTTCCATCAATAAACTACAGGAAATCATATATGAATTTCTATGCGAGAAAGCTTCTAACTTGTCAAAAAGTTTCTCCTGGCCCGGGAATCAATACCGGATCAACACCTTTCTGGGGTGCTCACAGTACCAGTCTAGGTAACTACAAAGTGTGCAATCGGCAGCGCGAGGGCGAAATTTTTGTCAACTCTAAACACATGGAAAGGTCTTATTTCAACTCAGTTTTGCGGAATCCCTCAAGGTGGCCCAAAGGCCTATACCTAGGGTACAATATTCATAATATGACTAATTTTTCAGCCACTAGTAAGCTTTTTTGAAACATTTGTATTTTCTTGTGGCTTCAAGCTGCAAATATCAATTATTCTTTTTGTAACCATTGGCCCATCTTTCAGGATTCTATAAAACTGACGTGCAATACGTCCATTTATCTATATAGCATTACTGATAACACATCGGTCATTGTAACATTAAAGCTTTACTTTGTGCTGCTAATGTCCAGACCTAATTGTATATATGTAAACAAACAATGAGAGCGATTACTGCGTACAGTAAAACCAGTCCTAATTTTGAAAAACGAATATACCTTTTTCCTATAATAGGCTATAGCGCACATGGAGGAAAATGTAAGGTCGGGAATAATAAGGTCCAGGAGAACGCTAGGACAATCGAGGTAGCTTTCATGGAAGCCAGTGTAGGCGTTATATAAATCAAGAAAATTTTTGTTATAAAAATATGCTAAAAAGTACGAACCTTTTTTTTCTTCTTCTACTCCTTCTTCTTCTACTCTTCTTCTTGTTCGTCTACACAAGCAATTCGGTTATCAAGCCATCGCCAGATGGGGGACATGTTAAAAAGACAATTTCAATTACTGGCGATCAAAAAATGATCCAGCTTCTAATAAAGACTTGGTAGCTAGCTTACTTCAAGTCGTTAAATGTTAGGTGAAGATCACTATGCTAGCCTACTAAATTAACGCACAATGAAAAAATGATTCGATATTGCAAGGCGTAATTAGCTAGGTTTATATAATGTGCAGAATAACTCGCCTTCGGTAATCACCCATAGTGGTAAATACATGATCACAAGTATCTTACTGTGGTTTGCACTGTAGAAAAGTGATGACTTGATCTGCATAAAATCCTGAGTAGATGGGAAGGTAATCATTCCTGAAGCTGGCATTGTACCAATTTTTTTTCTGGATTCCTATTGTATTTAACCTGAGGTACCTACTTCCTCATGTTCGTTAGGTCAGTGTATGAACACATTGCATTTAAAATGCATGTGCGTATGCAAGTGCATACAAGAAAAACTTTCCATTCCGCTGCGACATCGCTAAAACAAGTTGGTCTCATGGTAAGAGTTTCAGAGAGAGTGATGGCCCTATTTTAGAAATATTATGAATGTAGGTGTAGGTGCAGAATTTTAAAATTATCTGGATCAATACTTTTACACTGTTTTAAATTTCGTGAGCAGTTCAGGAGCACTCGGCTTTTCTAAATTTAAATTATTTCTGGCTATTCTCATTGGCTCAGCGATTGGAACGAAAGGTGGATTGGTACCCGAAATGCCTTAAATCGTGGAGGCAAACGTTCATCTTGGCGCTTTAAAAAGCATCACTTCTTCCGCAGTGGTGTTCCAGTGGTTAGGGTGCTCAGCTGCTGACTCAAGTTTCTGAGATATAATTCTGGCAGTGGCAGTCAGATGTCGATTGAGGTAAACAGCTAAAGGCCCACGTACGTAGATATAGGCGAACGTTAAAGAATTCAAGATTGTCAAAAATTATGGAGCCCAACACTACAGCGTTCAAAATCATATCATGATTTTGCGCCTATAACAAAGAAGCATCGCTGCGTTAGCTCGACAGTATTGCCCACACTAATTGTGCACTTCTTGTTGCTTTACACGCTGACGATCAGCAGTTTCATACACTCCTTAGTAACCAAAGCTGTGCGTCACCCCCGTTTCACCTCAATGCTGCGAGTTCAAAATGCAGATCTTGCGATGTCTTTATTTCTTCGTGACGCAGAGCTATAGAAAGCTTCACATGATGCATTATCATGCACTTTTTGATGTTCTAGCTACTTACAGAAACTGTTTTGCAGGCAATGTTTCGGTCTCCAAGTCATTGGGCGCGCTTTCAGTTCATTTAGCGAAGACCACTCTGTCTCGTATAGAGAGCAAATATTTCCTACACTACCACATAGAATCTTTCTGCTTTTATTGTAACTCGGACATTTCGCCACGCCTTCCATAGTGGCACCATTAAGGCAAATTTTGTTAATTTCAGTCACTGATTAAGGTTCACTCATATCTGCGACTAGGATTGATTGGGAGAGAATTTGCGACTGGTGACGGCAAAGAGATTCAAGACGAATAATGTTTACACTGCATTCGACCCGTCAACACATAGAATTCACGTCTACTCACAGTGATCATTCACCACAAAAAAAAAAACGGGCGCTTTATTTTGCTCATATGATTGTTTCAAGAGTTTGCCACTGCATTCTTGCGACTCCAAAAGTGATTGAGCCAAAGCAGTTGGTTTGCGACCATTGGGGCTCTTTGCGACCTATTGTTTTGTGACCAAACTGGTCGCGTGACTGGTGCTAGTCGCAGGGGTTAAAAAGCCTTTAGACAACATTGAGCCACGCCATTGGCGTGAGGGAGAGTGAGAAAGCACGAAGCGAGAAAAGGAAATTCCACCTTCTCAATAGATGACTGCACACAAAACCCGGAGCCTGGGTTGGGAGCTTCTATCCTACGGGTACCTAATTAAAATGGGTACGCGGCGGCTATGGGAATCAAACCCATTAAGTTCCACAACAACCTTCTACGGTGACGCGCACTGGCAAGTTTCCCCTTTGTCTCCCACACCAGAGATTCTCTATTGAAAAGTAGAAAGCATATGCATCAGGACAAATACTGTGGACTGGGCGAGTTGGTGCAGGATAAAATGATATTGCTTTAGCGCAGCTACGTTTGAGCGTGAAGGAAAGATACTATGCAGTCAAGAAGGAAAAAAATGGACGACAGTGTGAGTGAGAGCGCTCACACTGCCGTCTGTTTTTTTTTTCTTGACTCTATAGTATCTTTCCTTCACGCTCAAACTGAGCTGCCCCAAAGCAACAGCATCAGGAGAAAAACGCTGGTTTTTCCCGGGGGACTTAGTGACAGCTCCTGTATAGGGCACGATGTGCAGCGTGGTTCAGCTAACTTGCACCAAGTTACGATAGTTGCGGCGCGAAAACAGAACGACGACAAAGAGAAAAGGAGGACTTCTTGCCTCTTTGCGTCTTTTTTGTTTCTTCGTCGTCGTACTACTCTCGCGCTAGAACTACGGATAGATTTGTGGGGTTTGACGTCCCAAAACCACCATATGATTATAAGAGACGCCGTAGTGGAGGGCTCCGGAAATTTCGACCACCTGGGGTTCTTTAACGTGCACCCATATCTGAGCACACGGGCCTACAACAATTCCGCCTCCATCGGAAATGCAGCCGCCGCAGCCGGGATCCGAACCCGCGACCTGCGGGTCAGTAGCCGAGTACCTTAGCCACCAGACCACCGCGGCGTGGCGCACCAGAACTATCGTAATGTCATACCGACTAGCCAAAACTGCCACACTTCTAAGTTGCACCTAGTATTTAAAAAACAACACATTCGCTCTGCATGTCCAATTAGTGTAGTATTGTTCTGAAGGATACTGTGCATGCTACAACATATTCCACCTTATTAACCAGGCTAATCATAATGACACCTTCCTCAAATTGTACAAATTATTTAAGCGACAATATTCAACGAAATAGGGGTCGAAGCAGTTCTCCTAAAATGTCGGAATATTATAATAATGCTAAGACAACAGTGAACACGGTAACATGGGTAATGAACAAGAACAAATATATACCATTAAAAAATTCACGCAAACAAAACATATTGCTCAAAAAAGTTGTAGCTTTTGTTCATAAAGGACAAAATATTTCATGTGTGTTAACATAGCTGTGTTGTTTATTTTTTATTATCTTTTTTAGAGTACGCTGAACCAAAAAGTAGCACGGTGCAAAATATTTTAAAACACACTGTATGGTCTGTTATTTGCAATTCTAAGTATTGATCATATAATAGAAATAATATATTCTTGTAATTCTGAAGCACAAGAGGTCTCGAAACTAGATTCGCAATTTCAAGGCACAAAGTCACACAAACGAAAGAATCTGAGCTCGCCTTGAGGCTCGGAAGCTGTTGAACTCTGCTTGCCAGCAACTCCTTCCATAGCACGTGTGATAAATCTGTCCATCGCTCGTCAACGCTTGTAAGTCCACGCTAAAAATGTTAAGCTCATATCCTGGGGTTGCTTTGGACAACAGACTACCAAGGCGGAAAACTCAGCATCATTTCTCAGGCACATTATTACAGTGACTCAAGACACTCAGCCGAGTTGTCTCTGGTCATAATGCTGAGTGACCAAATGACCAGCCGGGTTCTTCACCAACTGCCACTAATTCGTTCATCGGAGACCCAGTATGCACGACTAGTGCTTCCAAACCCGAAGGGACTCCACTTGTATTTTGAAGTTTTAGGCAAGCTTCAAAAATGGAAATCGTAAATAAAGCCCGGTTCCTAACACTGTGTCTTCTGGCATCCGAAGTTTACAAGCCTAATTTCGACTATTAAGGGAGTCGTTCGCTGGAAAAGCCCTAACTACAAGACTGCATCAAGCACAGACCTAATCTCTCAAAGCACCATGGCTAAATACTCTGGATATTCTCGGTGTTAAAAGCTCGAAAGAAGGTAACCAAGAGATCCGGCTTTGCTGCTTCAAAGCCTTATTGGTGACTAGAGTATACCTGAGCTGCAATCCAAGCGCTGGATATCCTTACCAAAGCGCGCTGTCTGGTGCTCGAGGCATATTTGATTTCATATATAGGCACTACTCAACAATCAACCACATTCATACTATCACTCAGGTAATAGAGAAATGCTCAGAGTATAACCAACCACTATACATAGCCTTCATAGATTACGAGAAGGCGTTTGACTCAGTAAAAATATCAGCAGTCATGCAGACATTGCGGAATCAGAGTGTTGACGAAGCATATATGAACATCCTGGAAGAAATATACAGGGGATCAACAGCTACATTAGTGCCTAATAAAGAGAGCAACAAAATACCAATCAAGAAGGGTGTAATGCAGGGGGAGACAATCTCCCCAATGCTATTTACCGCGTGCTTACAGGAGGCTTTCAGAGGCCTAGAACAGTAACACTTAGACATAACAGTTAATGGGGAGTACCTTAGTAACCTGCACTTCACCGATGACATTGCATTACTGTGTAACTCAGGAAACAATTGCAACTCATAATTACGAAGTTAGACAAGAAGAGCAGAAAATTAGGTCGTAAATTATTATGCTAAAATTGAAAGTAGTGTACAACAACCTCGGAAGAGAACAGCGTTTTGATATAGGTAATAGTGCACTTGAAGTTGTAAAAGACTATGTCTACTTAGGAAAGGTAATAACCGCGGAGCCGAACCACGTGACTGAAGTAACTAGAAGAATAAGAATGGGGTGGAGCACATTTGGCAAGCACTCTCAAATCATGACAGGTAGATATCCACTATCCCTCAAGAGGAAGCTATATAACAGCTCCATTTTGCCGGTATTTAGGTGCAAAGCAGAAACCTGGAGACTTACAGAAAGGATTCAGCTTAAATTGAGGATGACGCAGTGAGCGATGGAAAGGAAAATGGTAAGTGTAACCTTAAGAAACAAAAAGAGAGCAGAATGGATTAGGGAACAAACCGGAGTTAAGGATATCATAGTTAAAATCGAGAAGAGGAAATAAACAATGGCCGGACATGTAGCACGTAGATAGGTTAACCACTGGTCATTAGGGGAACTAACTGGATTTTTAGGGAAGGCGAGCGAGTTAGTGGGAAACCGAAGGTTAGGTGGGCAAACGAGATTAAGAAGTTTGCGGGTAAAAATTGGCACCAGTAAGCACAGGACCGAGTTTACTTGTGGAACACGGGAGAGATCTTTGTCTTGCAATGGACGTAGTCAGGCTGATGATGATGATTATGATGATGATGATGATTGCTGGATGGTCTGGCCGCTACGATTACCCTGCATTCTCGATTTTAAAGACCGTGGCTATTCCTGCTGATCTGTCAAAGCTGAAGAATGAGCCCATAACAAGCTGCATTCTCGTGGTCTCTCAGTCGGCAGCAAAGATGTGCGCAGGGTTCGCTATCAAGAGAAGGAAGGCAATCGAAGGTTAATCGAAGTGCCCCCCTTGTTATTACGTCAAATTATGGGGCACTTTCTTTTTCATCTTTTGTTATAGCCTGATTCAGTTTCACATGCTAAACTCCCTTATCCAACGAATTTTACAACCTCTGGTTTTATAAGCTTCAAGCAAAAATTAACAAAAAGCTAAAAATCATTTTGAACCAACATGTTGCAAGCATTGGGCATTAAGGTAGCTAGTTTCAGACACTCCCTCCTTTAAGATAAAAAGAATTTCGAACGCACGTGGCTTTGCCACGCAGGAAAGTACATAAAAAGCTTTTATGGATACTTTCTAGTGCTGTCTCATAGCAGATAGTAATCATGTATAAATACCCTTTCACTTAATATAAATGTTTTGAGCAGACGCAATGATGTTCAAACCTGAAACAGCAGAATCTGGCCCAACGCCGGTCGCACCACGTTGGAAGAGCCTGCTGATGAGTCCATTGTCTGGTAGTGAGGATTTGCAAATGCGAGCAAAATCACTTCAGATAACAAAACCACCCCTGCTCTGTTTCATTTCCATGAGCCAGTACTACTTTTTTTAAAGCTTCAGCTTAACCATCCAAATAAACTTTTCGCTTTGCGAGAACGTGATAATGGGCTTGAAGGGGGTTACGATCCGTGCGGGTTTTGTTGTGTGCTACAAGTTTCAACATGCATGAATTGGCAACTTCATTAACTTGAACCCGCTGTCGCCATTTAATGCTAAATTTTGAGAGCGCCTATATACAATTTTAATCTTACAAAACGTACCTAATCCTTGTCGTTTAAACTTTTTTCGGTGTGAACAAAACTTATGTGTAATAAACCTGAGACACCACTTCTATTTTTATGTTACATGTTATGACGCTGGTCAATTTCTTCGTGTAGCAACCTTATTACTATTGCAGTTGTTTTGAAGTGCGGCTTTCAGAATTAGTCTGAAATTCAACACATATTGTACAGCATCATCATGAATTGAGTTTTTTGTCATTCATTTTTCATTAACGGTTAAACAAGCCCTGGTAATCTAGTACTTGATGAATAGAGAGCACTGTGAGAAATTGCAGGCATCGATGTCTGACGCGTTGCGCGTGCTTCCTTCATATTATAAACTTTTCATATATGCAATATTAAGAATACGAAATACATGAGGTATATGAATTGATCTGGGTGCATCTAAAAAGTAAGTATCATTTATATTATTGTTTACTGGAGTCATTCCTGAAGAAATCCGGACAAACATAATCAGTTTGCCTGCGCTAACCAACCAAAAAATAGGCTGTTAAAAGCAACTCAGGTGTGTTGCTGTTAATAGGTTGGTTCTCAGACTAGAACAAATTATATGACATCCAAGCACAGTTGCAAGTGATATATTTAGGTACGTGAATATATATGCGCAATTCACCGCTTCTAAAGTTTCTCACACCATGGTAAATGAATTTAAAAGTTCATGTTTCATCATTAAGGTGAAGCAGGGAATGCGATACCACAAATTACAATATTACACGATGTAAAACCAGCATCCTAAATTCTTTAGCGTTCGACTTGGTGCTACTCAACAATAAAAGCTGCCTTTATTAAATGTGGTCACTGCAATAATGGAAGCTGTCTTCATGATGGTTATTGTTTCCACGCAGACAGTGACGGTATTGCAGCCCGTTCAATAGTATGAGCCGTCTGCTAATGAATTTTAAGCCAAGGCGCGCGCGGCCACGGGCATTCAATCAAAGTACGCACTCGCATCCGGAGCCCTCTATCTGTGCTTGCTCTCTTTCATGTGTCTATCGTGCAGTAATAGTTTCCTCCCCACCTGAGCCGCCATCATTGTGAACATTCACACGCTTTCACTCATACGCATACCAGAATACGCGTGGGGTGATGTTATCGCAACGTGGGCTTAAGGCAAACCCCATGGCAACGCCGACAACTACAGCAAACAAGAAATAAATTCACCCTATATTTGATATTAGAGTGAAAATCACTACTAACCAGCACCTCCTCCTTGCTTCGATTCACCGAGGCGACTCACCAAAGCATTGATGAATGGCTCACCTAAAAATGAGCAATGACAAAACAAAAAAAATGCACAAAGCTGCACGGAAAATCCACAGATAAGTTGCAGCGTTTGTTCTGGGTGGTCAAAATATTTTATTTTTGTTGACATAAATATGCTGTTTCATTTTATTTATTTATTTATTTATTTATTTAGGAATACTGCAGGCCTTAATAGGCCCAGGCAGGAGGGGAAAAGTACGAACAAAAGTACAAAGTCTGCAAATATCAAGAATATATACAAGTAGGATCTATACAAAGCAACAACAAAGTGAATCTACTAACAAGTAAATGAGCACTAAAAGAAATGTAATACAAAGAAAAAATAATATACAATATGAGAAGATAAACAATACAGAACTATCTAATCAATGTACAAAGGAGTTAGTAAAATACTGGATCACTGTATTGAAAGAGGAAGGGCTAGATCTAAGATGAAATGGATGCGATAGAGTCGGTGTTGCTGAGTGTACTAAGAGGTAGGCTGTTCCAGTCGGCTACTGTTCGAGGAAAAAAGGAATACTTAAAGATGTTGGTTCTGGTATTGTAAGGCGTTAATGTGGCAGAGTGGCGATGTCTTGTTCGGCGAGCAGTGAGAGGCTTTATGTAAGGTTCAGGAGAAAGAGACAATTTATTTTTATACAGTAAGAATAGAAATTTAAGCCTGTGAATTTTTCTTCTTAGTTGCAAGGACTGAATGTTGTGTTGGGCCATTAGGTCACTTGGAGAGTCACTGGTGCGATATTTGGAGAAGATGAATCTTACTGCTTTACGTTGGATCCTTTCTAGCGCATCGATGTTAGTTTTAGTGTAAGGATCCCATACGATAGCTGCATATTCAAGTTTAGGACGGACAAGAGAGGTATAAGCGGTTAGACGGGTCTCGGGAGGAGCATGTTTTAATTTGTGTCTGAGGTAGCAGAGTTTTTTGAAGGCTGAGTCGCAAAGGTGAGAGATGTGGGAGTTCCAACTGAGATTATTAGTTATGATGACACCCAGGTACTTATATTCATCAACCTCTGTAAGAGGCATGGATGCAAGATTATACGTAAACGAAAGTTTATTAATTTTTTTGGTGATTTTCATAAATACTGTTTTATCAATATTAAGCTGCATGTCCCAGCGTTCGCACCATGTTAAAATTTTTGAAGGTTAGAGTTTAGGGTGATTTGGTCTTGCTGGCAGGTAATTTCATTAAAGAGTAAGCAGTCATCAGCGAATAATTTTATCTGTACAGGTTCAGTAATAGAGTCAACTATGTCATTAATGTATATATTAAACAATAAAGGTCCAAGAACACTTCCTTGGGGAACTCCAGAAGTAACAGCAAGGTCACTCGAACAGCAATTATCAATTGCAACAAATTGCCTACGGTTAGTGAGGTAAGCAGAAATCCAATTTACTAGGTATGAGGGAACGTCCAGATGAACAAGTTTTTCGATTAGTTTCGCGTGTGACACGAGATCAAACGCCTTCCTAAAATCCAGAAATATGATGTCAGTTTGTCCTGATTTGTCGACAACGCTAGCGAGACTGTGAATTACAGTAGTTAATTGGGTTACAGTGGAGAGGCCCTTCCTAAATCCATGCTGCATAGGAGTTAAAATAGCTCGATCATCAAGAAACCTAGTGATTTCGTTAGCAATAATGTGTTCTAAAAGTTTACAACAAGAGGAGGTTAGTGATATGGGGCGGTAGTTTTGAACTAATGATGGATCGCCTTTCTTTAGGATAGGAATGACACGAGCAGATAGCCAGTCGTTCGGAAGCACTGCTGAAGATAGTGATGCACGAAAGATGATAACAAGAAAACGCGATAGCATTTCGGCGTATCTGTGAAGAAACACGTTTGGTAAGTTGTCAGGCCCGGGTGAAGATTTTGTTTTTATATTCAACAGCATAGAAAGACGCCAGGCAAAGAAACAAAACTAAAGTCATCCTTCACCAATGTGTGATTCAGGCAACGGGGAACAGGCGAGTTTGAAAATATACTATTAAAATAAGCATTGAAGTGAACAGCGATCTCTTGTTTAGCGACGACAGGATTGCCCTCGTGCATAATATGGTCAACTGGTTTGCTTTTTTTGCTGAGAAAGCTCCAAAACTTGCTGGGAGCAGTTCGGATGAAGTTAGGCAGGGTAAATTGAAAATAACGAAGTTTAGCTGCCCTAACAGCCTCGTTTAATTTAGCTTGGCATGGTACGATTTCGTCACGAGAAATACCCCGTCGTCTCAGACGTTTGACTTTTCTCTTCGCATGCACTATCTCACGCGTCATCCAGGGAGTAGGTTTGGATGTTGTTTTAGTTCTGCTTGGAATAAAGTTGTCGATACAGTGCATACAAATATTCTTAAATTCGTCCCAAAGTTTAGCAGCGTCATGTCCCCCAAAAGCACTCAGACTATCATCAAGGTAATCTAGTACGCTCTCATCATTGGAACGTGAATAATCCTTTACAGAAACAGTTTTACAACTAGTAGACTTGGGAAGATCGATGGTACAGGAAAAAGCCACAAGTTCGTGATCAGAAATGCCTTGTTCAACAGAAACAGAAAACTCATGAAAAGTCTGGCTAATAAATATGAGGTCAAGTATTGAAGCAGAAGCAGCGCTAATTCGTGTAGGCTCAGTAACCACTTGCTGTAAGTTATGCATCAAAATAATGTCACGCAAATGTTCATTGTTTACGCTCACATCAGCGCTATATGTACCGCGAATCCAGTCAATGCCCGGTAGATTGAAATCACCTATTAAAAAAATTTTATTGTGCACAAAAGATGCCATGTGTTCATGCAGATCTTGAAGAAATAGCGGAGGGGAATCAGGGGCTCGATAAACAGCAAATAATAGAAAAGATGTATTACGGCATAAAATTTTTAAAGAAAGCGTTTCAAGATTAGCTGTCTGACGTAGGAGAACTGAATTTTCGACCAGCTTTTTCAGTGTACGTCGAATCAAAAAGTTATCTTTGTACAAGATATTTTAAACACCCTGGTAAAGTTCATGGAAGCGGCTACTTCCCTGTTAGGTCAACCTATGGGGCGGATTTCGTGCCCTTCCCTCGTATGTGACTAGGGCCTCTGCCCCCTCAAGTTTCGCCTGTGGTCGACAGTGCAAGAAATCGCTCCAGAGATTTCCACTACTCATTTGCCAGCGATCGCTTGCATGAATCAAATACGCTACCAAAGAGGAATCAAAATACCATTGCAGTAGATACTTTAACTTGTTAATGAGATTTATGTGAGAGCAAATGAACGTACAGCCAACGAAGCACGCCTAAAACAATCGACAACCTAAACAGCTTGTTAATCGTCACCATCATCAACCTGACAACTCCCACTGCAGGGCAAAGGCCTCTCTTATGATCTGCCAGTCAACCTGGTATTGTACTTTCTGCTTCCACGTAATACATGCGAACGTTTTAATCTCATCCGCCTACCTAACTTTCTGTCTCTCTGGCATCTCTCATAATCATAAACGGTGGTTTCGGGACGTTAGACCCCCCATATCAATCAAGTTTCTATCTCCCCTTCGTGTGTTTATTTTCTCTGGGGATTTAGTCAGTCTCTGTTAATCACCAGTGGTTACCCTGTCGACGCTTTACGAGCTCGGCCCATGTCCTGTTAAAGAGCAACTGCCTAAAGATATAATTCCAAAACCGTGTTCTCTCTTCATGCAATTCGCCACACAACCCTTGTGTTAAAAGAAGACTCAATATCGTGGAGTCAACTGTGCTGTATAGATTAAAAACACGACCAACCTACATACCTGCATGGTTGTTAAAAGTAAAGGGTGCTTCTTTCCCGTGTGCGATGAAGTTGGGACAGGCATTACTGCATTTCATCGTGAAACACTTTTTTTGTGAAAGGGAGAGACTAATGGGTATATGAACAACCATGGTCTTCCCCAATGATCCTGTGAAGACATTTTGTTTTTGGCTGGTGTACCGATGATTCGCAAAGAAGTGGCTGTCATCATTTTATGTTTTTTAAGACCGAGATGTTAATGACCAATCATGAGAGATACTACAGAGGGTCGCTCAGGTGGAGCAATAAACGGCCAAGTATGCCAGGCTAACCCTGCCCGTGACATCAGCAGCACTACCAACACTACTAATCAAGTACTCAGAATCTTGTTTTCATGACTGAAATATTGTACTGTAGCTAAAAGTTTATAGCATACAGTTGTTGACGAGGAGTTGATGCTTTCTTGAGTTAGACAATTAGGGTAACAGTCACTCCACATCTCCTTAAGAAAAACTGAATACATTGTTTGCCTAAAAGCCATCAATGAAAGCTACTTTACGTACTTCATAGCCTGATTTATTTTGGCAAACCAAGCTCCAATATTCAACCAACCTAACAATGTCTGGTTTTACACATTTCAGGCGGAAACTTACAAAAACGTAGAGAGCTTTTGAAACCAACATGTTTCAGCCACTTGGCAATAATGTAGCTAGTTTAAGTCACTCTCTTTTATAAGAGGAAAAATATCGAACACACGGGACTTTCTCAAGTAGGAAAGTGCACAAAAAACTTATATATATTTTTTCCAACACTGCCTCATAGCAGATAGTAATAATGTATGAATACCTTTTCACTTAATATAAATGTTTTGAGCATACGCAATGCTGTTCTTACCTGAAAGATCAGAATTGGGCCTATTCCCGTTCGCACCACGTCCCACTAGCTTGTTCAAAAGTTCACGACCTGGTAGTCAACGTTCACGAATGCAAGCAAAATCATGCTAAGCAATGAAACCAGCTCTGCTGTATTTCATTCCACTAAGCCAGTACTCATTTCCGGCAGCTCCAGTCTAACCATCGAGATAAACTGCATCACTTCGCAAAAATGTGATAATGATCTTGAAGCAGGTGATGCTCCGGTCGTGTTTTATTGTGCGCTACAAGTTCCAACATCTATCAATTCGCAACTTCTTTATATTGAACGCGCTGTCGCAAGTAACGTTTTTCAATTTTCATGAGCAGCTCTGTACTATTTCAATATTAAAAGACGTACCCAATGATTTTCGATTAAACTTTTTCCTTTAAAGAGAACAAAGTTTTTGTGTAGTAAACCTGAGACGCCGCTTCTATTTCAAATTACCTGTTATGACGCTGGTCAAGTTCTTGATGTGGGACCTAATAAATACTACCTCAAGTGCTTTGAAGTGCAGCATTCAGAATTAGTACAAACTCCGACACATATTGCGGAGTGTCATGAAGACTTGAGTTTTCTTTTCCTTAATTTCTTATGAACGGTTAAACAAGCGCTGGAAATCTAGGGCTTGATGAATGGAGAGCACTGCGAGAAATTTTCCGCATCGAATTCCGGCGTGCTTTGCATGCTTCCCTCGTAATATAAATTTTTGATACACGCAATATGTAGAATAAGAATTGTATAAGCCATATGAATTTATCTCAGTGCATTTAAAGAAGGAGCATAATTTGGTATTGTTATTCATAAGTCAATTTTGAAGAAATTCGGACAAACGCAGTCAGCCTGCCTGCACTAACAAACAGAAAAAAAAGACAGAAGGACCTGAAAGATGTTGCTGGTTCTGCGTAGGCTCTCGCACTAGATGAAATTATATACCATGTTAGTTAGCGTAGTCGCAAGTGATATATTTAGGTTTGCAAATCTACATGCGCAATTCACCGTACATCAAAAATGTCACAATGTGTGAAATAAACTTAAAAGTACCTGTTTCGTCATTAGGGTGAAGCAGTGAGTGCGATACAACTAATTATAGTACTAAGGAATGTAAAACTAGCATCATCATTTCTTTAGTCTCCGACGTTGAGTGAATCGACAAAGAAGCTGCCCTAATTAAATGAGGTCACTGCAGCAATCGAAGATTTCTTTATGATGGTTATCGTTTCCATGCAAAAATGGGTGAGAACGCAGCTCGTTCAATAATATGAGCCATCTCTTAATGACTATCAAGACAAGGCGCGCGCGACCATGGCCTGGGAAGCAGACCGGCGAATCACCTCGTCCACGACGTCGGCTACAAACAGCTGGCTACGGTTGCTGATGTAGGCGATCGCAGTACGCACTCGCATCCGGAGCATAATATCCAAGCCTGTTTTCTTTCATTCGTCTTATCTGAAGTAGTAGTTTTCTCTTCATTTGAGTCGCTATCATCGTGGGCCATCGCACGCTTTCACTTGCACACCTTACAAATACCCAAGAGGTGATGTTATCGCAATTTCCGCTTTATAGCAAATGACAAGAAATGAATTCACCATATACCTGCTATCACAATAAAAATCACTACTAACCAGCGCCTTCTCCTGGCTGAGATTCACTGAGTCGTCTCAGAAAGGCACTGACGAATGGCCCACCTAGAAATAAGCAATGACAAAAACACACACAGCGTTTTTTTCTTGTCATAGTAACACTTAAATCAGAACCAGTATTTTCAAGAAATATCAACACGACTTTTCCTTTTCCATTAGGGTGTATTTGTTGGTTTTCTTAAAATCTAGTTACAAGAATTCCTATGGTGATTCACTTTTCTCACCTTAAGAACGTCGATTGCCACCCAATTAAAAAAAAACTGATCTATCAATTTATCATGATGGACCCTTAAGATTATTATTATCATGCCAGCCATTTGAAAAAGACAAAAACGCTTCATGTCATGCAAAGATTCTTCCTTGAAAAAAATTCATTGAAGACTGGCAGGTTCGAATAATTTTAGCCTACTGAATTCATAAGCAAGGCAGTGTGTGTCAGTAGTGTAACTGCTTAATTACGTGTAATTTGCCTTCCTGGCGTCTTTCACGCAGTGAATGCCAAGTTTCATAGATAGAAAGTGAAACTATAAAAATGTCAAGAAGATCGAAGTAAAGCTTCAGCTCAAATTTCCACGCACTATTGCAAGAGGTATCGCGTCATGTTTTAATATGGTCAATCTCCAAAACTCTAACCACGAGATTGGTGAACCTGTTTTCTGCAGGGCAATATTCATTAGGTTCACGCCTTATATTCTTCTCTTCAGAAGAATTAGCACCGTGCTCCATTTTTTTCTGTTGCTATCTTAGTGATGCAAATCTCTAGACATAAATCTACATGAAGTATACATGTTACTATTTTCCACAAGTACATTCGGCACTTTCAATCGAGTGAGCGGCGGGATGTGGCTTTGTTTGGTGTGGCAACGAGCAGTGTGAAAACTGTCTAGGCACAGCTTACAGAACTAATTTTCAGACGTGTTAGGAGTATCTTTGTGCGATCTTATTCAAAGAATATACAACCTCGGAGATTCATTGTCCAGCCGCTTACCAATTGCACGCAATCAAATCGCACGGCGTCGTGTAACAATAGAAATAAACACCAAGCCTGCGCAAAAAGCGCAGCACAGTCACAGCAAAAGCTAAAAGAATGGCCTTTCAGTGTCTGTTCTAAACACTTAATGATTAACCACTGCAAGCATACTTGCTGCGTACCCACTATAGCATTATTATAATATTTCAATAATATTCTAAATTTGCAGACATATCCCAAGCTTCGGCGTGGCTCAGTGGTAGAATACAGGGCTGGCACGCAGCGGACACGGATTCGAGCCCCAATGTGTCTTTGGTGCAAGCTTTTCTTTCTTATTTCGTGCAAAGTGGTTACGGACACTGCTGGCGGCGAACAACTATGGTACCGCACGTGTCCCGAGTTGGAATAACAGCTTTCGCTGTAAAGAGAAAGATAGCAGTAAGAGAGAGTGGCATTATTTCATTAGGAAGCATGGTAGGGTAAACCCTCCCAAAAATCAAATTTGCAATTTGGACACCAAGAAATCCACTGTACTCTGATGAACAAACCTGTGGAACGCCGACGTTGAGTGGCTGCTCCAAGAGGTTTAAATGCCGTGCCAAAGGATGCAGTGCGCCCTCTGGTTTAAGCAGTATGCGCACGTAGAACTTCGTTATAAACTTCCTCGAAGTGGCTCCCGCGCTATTAGGCATAACTTATGGCGCGCATTTTGAGCCCTTCCCCTCGTAGGTGACTAGGGGTCGCCCCCCCCTCTTCTGCCCCCCTCAAGCGCCCGCCTGCGGTCAGCAGTGCGAGATATTGCTCCAGAAACTCCCACTACTGATTTGCCAGCAGTTGTTTGCATCACTGATATATACTACCAAAAAGGCAACAAGCTAGCATTGCAGTGGATGTTTAACACGTTGATGTGAAAGGAAACGAACTTAGAGCCAACAGAGCACTTCTAAAACAACTGACAATCTACAATAACCTGTTAATTGTCATCATCATCATTATCAGCCTGACAACGCCCACTGCAGATCAAAGGCCTCTCCCAAGATCTGGCAATCAACCCGGTCTTGTGTCTCGTGCTGCCATGTTATACCTGCGAACTTTTCAATGTCATCTTCCCACCCATCTTTCTGCCTCAACTTCGTGCGCTTGCCTTTTCTGGGAATGCAGTCAGCCACCCATAATCACCAGTCATTATCCTGCCTACGCTCTACGAGCCCGGTCCACGTCCTGTAAGTCAGCAGCTGTTAAAAGACAATACTGCATGCCGTTTCCTCCCTTCATCAAATTCACCTCATCACCCTTGTGTTGACGGAGGTCTCAGTCTCGCGGAGACAACGGTGCAGTATATTGTAAAAACACAATCAGCCTACATACCTTCATGGTTGTTTAAAGTAAAGAGAGAGTACCATTTCCCGTCACACACTGAGTGCGATGAAGTTGGGGCACGTATCCCTACATGTATAGAGTAAGCACATTTCCTGTCAAAGAGAGAGGCTCATAGGTCATTATGAAAGACTGGGCTTTCCCAATGATCTTGCGAAGACATGCTCTTTCTGACTGGAGCACCGATGATTCGCAAGAAAGTGACTCTCTTTAATCTGGGTTTTCTTAGACAGAGATGTTAAAGTGGCGAATCATGAGAGACTCTACATGCATAGTGCCACTCAGGTGGAGCAATACCCTGCCAAGTATGCCAGGCTAATCCTGCCTGTAACTACATCATCCCCACCACCGCAACTACTAATCAAGTACTCCAAATTTCAGTTTAATAAATGAAATATTTTACTGTTGCTAAAAGTTTAACAGAACATAAGGTTTTTGACAAGCTGCTGACAGTTTTATTGAGTTCGACAATTAGCATATTATTCCCTACAAAGCTTACAAAGAACTGAATATTTTGTTGAGTTTCACGCAAACAATGAAAGCTACTTTGTGTACTTTATAGGCTAATTTAGTTTTGGAGGCTGAATTACATTATCCAGCTACCCTGACAATCTCTAGTTTTATACCTTGCAAGCGAAAATTCACACAAACTTGCAGAGCTTTTGAAAACAACGCGTTTTAAGCACTCTTCAATAATGAAGCTAGTTCAATCCCCCTCTTTTTATAATAGGAAGAATTTCGAACGCACAGAACTTTGCCATGCAAGAAAGCACGTAGAAAACTATTATAGATGTTTCCCAGTGCTGTCTAATTTTTTGAGCAGACGCGATTCTGTTTTTACCTGGAAAACCAGAACTGGGCTTCCCATCGGTCACACCACGTCCAAAGAGCGTGCTGAGAATTCTACCACCTAGTAGTCAACAATCACAAATACGAGCAAAATCACTCTAAGCAACGAAACTGCCCTTGCTCTGTATCATTTTAATGAACCATTACTTATTCCCTGCAGCTCCAGTCTATACATTCAGATAAACTGTATAGGTTTGAGAGAATTTCATGATGGGCTTGAAGGGGGTGACGCTCCATTCGTGTTTTATTGTACGCTACAAGCTTTAACATGTATCAATTTGCAACAAAATACTTTGAAAGTGCTGTCACAAGTTTCAAATTCAATGAGCACCTATGTACTATTTCAATATTATAAAACGTGCTCAATAATTTTCACTCGCACTTTTTCCTTTTGGTGTGAACAAGCTTTCGTGTAATAAACCTGAAACACCTCTTCTATTTTTATGTTACCTGTTTTAACGTTGGCCACGTTCTTAGTGTAGACAAGCCTATTGCTATTTGAGCAAATTACTGTGACAAATTACTGTCTCATTGTGTGAAATAAATTTAAACGTTTTTGTTTTGTCATTAGAATGAAGCAGTTATTGCGATACAACAAATGAGAACATTACACGATGTAAACCAGCACCCTAAACCTTTTAGCGTCCGACTTGGTGTGATTCAACAAAAAGGCTGAATTAATTAAATGAGGTCTTTGCAGCGATTGAGGATTTCTTGATGATGGTTATTGTGAAGGGGTGAGAACGCGGCCCGTTCAATAATATGAGCTTTCTGTTAATGACTACCAAGACAAGGCACGCGCAACCACGTCCATTTGATCGAAGTACGCACTCGCAAGCGGAGCCTCCTATATGAGCCTGTTTTCTTTCATTTGTCGACTGTGAAGCAATAGTTTCCTCTTCGTTTCAGCCGCTATCGTTGTGGGCCTTCGCATGCTTTCGCTTGATCACATTACAAAATACACGTGACGTGAGGTTATCGCAACTTCGGCTTGATGGCAAATTTCAAAACAACGCCGACAACAACGGCACACAAGAAATAAGTTCACCATATATGTGCTATTCCGATAAATATCACTACTAACCAGCGCCTCCTCCTGGCTGAGATTCACTGAGTTGACTCTGAAAAGCACTGAACAAACGCCCGCCTAGAAATAAGCAATTGCAGAAACAAAGAATGCATTTTTTCGTGTCGTGGTAACACCTAAATCAGCAACACTATTATCTAGAGATATCAACAAGACTTTTCATTTTTTATTGGTGCCTAATTGTTGGTTTTCTTAAAACATAGGTATAGCGATGGTTCTAATTGTCTTTCGCACTTCTCGTCTTGAGAACTACGTCAATTGGCACCCGTTTAAAAAAACTGCATCCTCATTTCGTCATCGTGGGCAATGAAAGTGATGAATATCACGCCGTTTGAAAATGACAAAGGTGTTGCAGGTCAGGCAAAGATTCTTGCTTAAAAAATACATTGAAGACTGACATGTTTCAAATAATTTTAACATACTGAATTCATAAGCAAGGCAGTATGCGTCAATAGTGTACCTACTTAATCACGTGTAATTAGTCTTCCTGGCGTCTTTCACGCCGTGAATGACAAATTTCATAGACAGAAAGTGAAACAACAAAAATCTCATGAAGAAGTAGAGCTTCAGATTTAGTCTCTACGCTATATTGCAAGAAGTATCGCGTTGTCTTTCATTCTGGTCAATCTTCAATACTCAGATGCCAAGATCGGGGAATCTGTGTTCTGCAGGCCAATATTTATTCGGTTCATGTTTCACATTCTTCTCTCGAGAAGAAATTGCATTCTGGTATATATTTTTCTTTTGCTACCACATAATGTGAATTTGTAGACGTAAATGAATATGAAGTACATGTTAATATTTACCACGAGTACCTTCGGCACTCTTAATTATGCGTGCTACGGGATATTACTTTGGTTGCTCTTGCAACGCACAGTGCGAAGGCTATCTAGGCACAGCTTACAGAACCAGTTTTGAGACGCGTGCACAGTGTCGTTGTGTGATCTTATTGAAAGCACACTTAGTCTCGGAGATTCATTGTCCAGATTCTTACCAGTTTCACGTAATCAGGCCATACGGCGTCGTGTAGCAACTAAAAAAAACGCCAGGCCTGTGCGGAAGGCGCAGCACAGTCCGAGCGACAGCTTGAAGAGCGACTTTTTAGAGCATTTGCTAAACACTCATTGGGTGACTGCTGCAAGCCCACTTGCTGAGTAATCATCATCATCATCATCATCATCATCATCATCAGCCTGACCACGTCCACTGCAAGCAAAGGCCTCTCCCATATTCCGCCAGTCGACTCGATCCTGTGCTTGCTGCTGCCACTTTACACCTGCAAACTTCTTAATCACATCTACCCACCTAACTTTTTGTCTCCCCCTAAGCCACTTGCCTTCTTTGGGAATCCGGTCAGTTATCCTAATGGATTCGTTCTCTCAGACCTGCGAAAAACTAACTCCTTTGGTCACTTACACAAAAATTCTACAGCACTACAGACTAGACCCTCTCCGCTATCCTACAGCTCACAAAAACCTCCCTCGATATGATGTTGTCCTGTGGTGCAAGCTTCAGACAGGTGTCTTTCCCAACCCCTGGCTTCATAGCAAGGTATACCCACAACTCGTGACACCAAACTGTAAATACTGCTTAAAATCGGCCACGCTAATACACGTGGCATGGACGTGCCCACAGTACGCTGACGCTTCTTACACAGAAGATACTTTGGAGTCCCTTCTGCAGATCACTGACTCGACACAGCAACGCCGGGTAATCTCACGCGCATTGGAGGCCACGGTGTTCCAAGGGATCCCCGCTGACTTCCTATAAGCAGCGTAACTGACCTCTCGGCCGGTCCCCTCTTTTGGGAGTAAGCTCTTTTGGGAGTTTTGATCATCATCATCATCCTGGCTACGCGCTACATGCCCGGCCTATATCAATTTCCTCTTCTTCATTTCAACTACGATATTCTTAGCCCCGGTTTGTTCCCTGATCCACTCTTCTCTCTCCTTGTCTCTTAATGTTACACCTATCATTTTCCTTTTTAGCGCTCGCTACGCCGTCCTCAATTTAATCTGAACTCTCTTTGAAAGTCTCCGTGTTTCTGCTCCATAGCATAGTACGGGCAAAATGCAGCTGTTATATACCTTTCTCTTGAATGATAGTGCCAATCTACCAGTCATGATTTGATAGTGATGCCAAGTGTGCTACACCCCATTCTTAATTGTCTAGTTACTTCAATCTCGTGGTTCGGCACCGCGGTTATTGCCTGTCCTAAGTAGACATTGTCTTTTAACCCTTCTAGTGCACTATTACCTATCTTGAAGGGCTGTTCTCTTCCGAGGTTGTTGTACGTTATTTTCGTTTTATGTATATTAACATTAAGACCTACCTTTCTGTTCTTCTTGTCTAACTTCATAATCATGAGTTACAATTAGTCGAAAGACGCCAGGAAGGCTGATTACACGTGATTAGGAAGGTACACTACTGACATATTCTGCCTTACTTATGAATTCAATATGCTAAAATTATTCTAAACATGTCAGTCTTCAATGTATTTTTTTTTTCAGGCAAGAATATTTGCCTGACTTGCAATGCCTTTGTCATTTTCAACTGCCATGGTGGAAAGCTCAGCATCACTTTTCAGGCACATTATTACAGTGACTTCAGAAACTCAACCGAGTTTTCTATCCTCGTAATGCTGAGCGACTGAACGACCAGCCGGGTTCTTCACCAACTGCCATTATTTCGTTCATCGGAGACCCAGTATGAACAATTAGTGCTTCCAAACCCGAAAGGTCTCTACTTGTATTTGGGAGTTCCACGCAAGCTTGAAAAAGGGAAATCGATTATGAACCCGGTTTCTACCAATGCGCCTTCTGGCGTCCAAAGTTTACAAGCCTTACTTCGACAATTAAGCGAGTCGTTCACTGGAAAAGCCCTATTTACAAGACTCTGCATCAATCACAGACCTAATCTATCAAGGTACTCTGGCTATGTACTCGAGATATTCTCGGCGTTAAAAGCTCGAAAGAAGGTAACCAAGAGATCCAGCTTGGCTGCTTCAAAGCTTTATTTGCGACTAGAGTATACCTGAGCTGCAATCCAAGCACCGGGTATCCTTACCGAAGTGCGCTGTCTGGTGCTCGAAGACCTTCCCTATCTCCTTGTATATATATGGCAGTGCCGCATTAATCGACAATAAAGGTGTGGGGCGGCATCTTTGATTTCACATATAGGCACTGGATAGTCTGGCCGCTAGGATTACCCTGTGTTCTCAATTATAAAGACCGTGGCTATTCCTGCTGATCTCTCAAATCTGAAGAATGAGCCCATAACAATCTGCATTCTCTTGGTATCTCAGTCAGCAGCAAAGATGTGCGCGGGGTACACCATCAAGGGGAGGGAGGCAGTCAAAGGTTTATCGAAGCACCCCCGTCGCTATCACGCCAATTTATGAGGCGGATTTGAGGCCCTGTCTCTTTGATCTAATCTTATAGCCTGATTTAGTTTCGCATGCGAAACTCTATTATCCAACCAACCTTACAATTTTTGGTTTTACACATTCCAAGCAAAATTTAACAAATACCTGAAGAGCTTTTAAAACCAAGATGTTTCAAGCATTGGACAATAAGTAGCTACTTTCAGTCACTTACTTTTTTAAGATAAAAATGATTTTAAACGCACGTGGTTTTGCCACGCAGGAAAGCACATAAACAGCTTTTATAATTTTTTCCAGTGGTGTCTCATAGCAGATAGCAATTATGTATAGATAGATACATTTTCACTCAATATACATGTTATGAGCAGGCGCACTGATGTTCTTACCTGAAGGACCAGAACTTGGCCCAACACCGGTCGGACCACGTTTGATGAGCCTGCTGATAGGTCCATCATCTGGTAGTCGACATTCAGAAATGAGAGCAAAATCACTGTTATTATCGAAACAACCCCTGCTTTGCTTCATTTCAATAAACCAGTACTTACTTCCTGCAGCCCCAGTCTAAACATTCAGATAAACTGTATCACTTTGCAAGAATGTGATAACGGGCTTGAAGAAGGTGACACTCCATCCGTGTTTTATTGTGCGCTACAAGTTTCAGCAAGTACCAATTTGCAACTACATTATCTTGAACGTGCTTTCTCAAGTAAGTGCTAAATTTCATGAGCGTCTACGTACCTACGTATCTAATGATGAGCACCTATGGAACATACCTAATGCTTGCCACTCACACTTTCTTTTTTGGTGTGAACAAAACTTCTGTGTCATAAACCAGGGAAATCGCTTTTAGCTTTATGTCACCTGTTGTGACGCTGGTCACGTTCTTGGTGTGGGCACACTTATTACTAATCCAACTGTTTTAAAGTGCAGCTTTCAGAATTAGTACGCAGTTCGACGCATATTGCAAAGCGTAATCAAGAGTTGAGTTTTTTTTTGTCATTCATTTCTTATAAAGAGTTCAACAAGCACTGTTAAGATAGCGCTTGATAAATGGAGAGCACAGCGAGAAATTCAATGCAATATATTTTGACATGTTTCACGCGCTGCCTTCATAGTATTTTTTTTTGCATAGGCGATATGAACAAAATGAAATAAGTCACATGAACTGAATAGAGTGCAATCAAATAGCAAGTATGATTAGATGTCATTGTTTATTGCAGTCATTCATGATGCCATTCAGACAAGAAATATTAGTTTTCCTGCGCTAACCAACAGAAAAATAGGCTGTTAGAAGCACCTTAGATGTTCTGCTTTTTCTACGGTGGTTCTCGCACAAGAAAAATCATATAACATCCTAGCCTAGTCACAAATGATAGTCAGAATACGAATATACATGCGCAACTTACCATACCTAAAACTTGTCACACTGTGTGAAATAAATTCAAAAGCCCTTGTTTCGTCATTAGAGCGAAGCAGTGAATGCGTTACAGCCCATTATAATTTTACACGGTGTAAAACCAGCGTCCTAAATCACTTAGCGTTCGACTTGGTGTGACTCAACAGAAACCCTGCCTTAATTAAATGCGGTCACTGCCACGATCTAAGCTGCATTCATGGTGGTTATAGTTTGAATGCAAAAAGTGATGAGAACGCAGCCGGTTCGATAATATGAGCCGTCTGCTAATGATTTTCAAAACAAGGTGCGCGCAACAACGGCAGTTGGATCAGAGTACGCACTCACATCTTGAGCCCCCTATCCGTGCCTGTTTTCTTTCATGTGTGTATCGTGCAGTAGTAGTTTCTCCTCCACGATAGCTGCTATCATTGTGGGCCTTCGCACGTCTTTTACTCGCACACATCACAAAATACGCGTGGGTTGATGCTATCGTAACTTTGGCTTTCCGGCAAATCCCATAGCAACGCCAACAACAATGGGAAACAAGAAATAAATTCACCATATATCAGCTATTAAAATAAAAATCACTACTAACCAGTGTCGCCTTCTTGCTGAGATTCACCGAAGTAATTCATCAAAGCACCGAACGGCCCACCTAGAAATAAGCAATGGTAACACCAAAATCAGCACCAATTTTTTCTTGAAATAATAACAAGACTTTTGATTTTCCATAAGTGTCTAATTGTTGGTTTTTTTTTTAAATATATAGGTACAGGGATTGTCCTTATTTTGAATCACACTTTTCGCCTTGAGGATGTTGACTGGCGCCCTGTTTAAAAAAACTAATCCCTTATTTTTTCATGATGCACACGGCAAGTTAGGAATATTATGCCGGGCGCTTAAAAAAGAACAGCACGCTTGAAGTTCAAATTCTTGCTCGGAAAAAACACTGAAGGCTGCCATATTTCCAATATTTTTAAAGTACTGATTTCATAAGCCAGGCAGTATGTGTCAGTGGCGTACCTGCGTAACTACGTGTAATTTGCTTTTTTTTTGCTTCTTTCACGCAGTGAATGCCAAGTTATATAGACAGGAAGTGAAACAATAAAAATATGATTAATAAGTACAGCTTCAGCTTTAGTCTCCATGCTATAGTGCAAGAGGTATCACGTCGTGTTTTACTGGTAGATATCGAATACTCTAACCCTGAGATTTGTGAATCTGTGTTCTGCCGGCCGATATTTAATAGGTTCATGCCTTATATTCTTCTCTTGAGAAGAAATTGCATTGTGTTTTTTCTTGCTACCACACTGATGTAAATTTGTAAGCATAAATTAACAGGAAGTACATGTTATTCTTTTCAACGAGTACATTCAGCCCTCTTGATTGTGCGAGCTACGCGATATTACTTTGGTTGTTCTTGCAACGCGCAGTGCGAAGGCTGTCTAGGCACAGCTTACAGAGCCAGTTTTCAGACGCGTGCTGAGTGTCTTTGCGCAATCTTATTGAAAGCATACTTAGCCTATGAGATTCATTGTCCAGATGCTTACTGGTTTTACGTAATTCGGTCGCTCGGCGTTATGTAGCAAAGAAAAAAGGAATATAGCAGGAACATGGAAACGCGCATGTGAATACTACCGGAAAAGTCGCTGTAAAGAACTGTATCCCGTTGAAACAGTTAGCACAGTGAACGTAACTGGGTAGTATAGCAAATGGCAGCTGGATAAACAGCTGCACACGATCGACACCCGCAACGTACATAACAATACATAACGTTCCAAATCGTTAAACGCCAATCACGTCACCACTACTTGTGGCAATACGTTCCCGCAAGGGCAATGTGCTTGCGTACATTGTAATATTTCCTATGTATGCAATCCTCACTACACTGTCGCATAGGGTACTGCAGTGCTTCTTTCAGCAAATATAGTGAAAGCTTCATGAACTACTCTCAAGAGTGTGGCGTGCTTCTTTAAACTCCAAAGGAAGAAATTTTTATGCAAATACTTCTTACTTGTAGGCTTTTTACGTTCTCGAAATTGAAGTGGTTGCAGCGTAATTTAGACACTTAACTCTAGATCATGAAGTAGAAATCGCCAGTAAATTATTGGAAGAAATAAGTTGTAGGTATTTCACAGCATTCGCTAGCATAGTTCAAGTCTCATTCTCTATAACATAAATACAATTTAGTGTATAATCTTTACTGGCAAACATCAACTACTATGTAGATGGAAATAATTTTTTTTGCGCAATAAACCCTATTTTCCTATTTTGTCAATTCCTAGTCAACAGAACTGACCTTTTTGGAAACATAGGCGTATCTTTCACTAATTATATCACAGACGTCATCAATGTCTTCTATATTCACAAAAATGTGAAATTGTAAAGTGTCAGACACATTCTCCTAAATAATTAACATGTATTTTAACTAATTAAAAACTTCTGAGCATTCATTATGAGGGAAAAACCAGTAAAAAAGAGTCTTCAGAACTTTTTTGCCCTTCAAAGCATTTCCAGGTTCTTACAAAAAAGAAAGCAAGTCTTGTGACAACTCTTGCTTTGTATAAAAGTATATATATATATATATATATATTCTTGAACTTTTCAAATACTCGCCGTAGATTCTTATAATAGGTATAAGCATTAGAAATTTTTGTTTAGAGTTTTTCTTCTTTTTTCAGTTAATTATAGAAAGGCTTTCACAGCATTTCTGAACGAATGCCTTGTAACTCTTCAATACTTTCTCCCTCGACTCTGCAGGCACAGCGTTCTTTTCCGTGGAATATATTGAGGGGCTAGTTTTTATGGATATATTGCGTGTATAGAAACGACCAAAATTGGACTGAAATAAAGCAATGTCAGCCTAGAGCACTTCAACACCCCTTTGTCTCTAATTAGCACTGTGATAACCAAGATACAGTTGTTTATTTATTATAAAATGTGAATAGTTTTGCTCGAGTACTAGCAGAGAAGCTTACTTTTTGCACACATCCACGCACAGTACAATCTGAGCTGAAGCCTCGCATTCTTCTAGTGCAGACAATGTTATAGAAAGGCGCTTGCAGTAGAAGAGTGAATGATAATTAATGTGTATGACACTTACCATAGGCAACATTCATGAGCAGAAGGAAGGTTAGGCATAATTGTAACAGAACGATTGCCTTCATTGTTGCTGGTTCGTTTCTAAGCAGTTTAACGTGATGGCTAGTGGCTTTGACTCTCTCACAGAAAACTAATTCCCGGTACCAAGTCTGCTTACCTTCTTTAAGGTATTCTGTACCCGAAGCTTACGAATTTTATACGCAGGGTCTCCGGCTTTCTCATGGGAATCATGTACGTGGTACACAACCGCAGGATGAATACAATACAGGCGTGTCATCTATAAATGTCGCATATGGCATCTCAATGCAACAAAGTTGTGTACGAAAACAAATGGTATATATTTGGATCTAAACAAAAACAAAGAAATGCCACACGATAATCTGCCACTAGAAAAAACAAACATGTTTGCCTGTCACTCGTAGCGGTGCAATGCAGACCTCTTTTTTTAGGCTATGTTGCGATTTGAAAGCAAAACTACTGTGATAAAGGCTTCATGACCTTGGTCAGCAAAATGCAGCTCGTCAAACGATGGCGCAGTTTTTTTTTATTTTCAAATAATGTGCCTATCGTTGGCTACAACCTGAGAATAAATAAACCTAAGTACACAGCTGTCAATGACGCACCCGTAAAAATTTCCTCAGATGCCATATTCAATTGCATTTGAGACGTGCTTTAGACTCAGTTCGACTCCAACTCGTGAAAATTTCCCAGGGCCAAGCTCACTCGTACTCACACCCGCGAAAACAATCTTCAACTGGACTGAGTTGGACGCAGACTCAACAAACTATTACTCACCCGGACTCACTCAGACTCAGGATTTGATAAGAGTCTGAATGAGCCCGAGTGAGTACACTCATAAGTGAATTTGCCGACCTATGTTTTTATAACGTATATATATTATTACGTGTAAAAGATTATTACTAACCTCGAAATGGTTGACTTACGGGCCCAGAACAGAGTCTTCCAAGCCTCTCCTTTCAAACGGAAAGAGTCCTACAAAAATACCGTGGCCGGGATACTGACGTCATTGAAACGATTACTCACAAAAAGTCAGTTTCAGAGCAGGAATGTGGCAATTATTGCTAATAGTACAGATTACACTCTCAACAAAATACGGCTAGGCCTCCTCAAACTCGCCCATAAACATATGGCGGGCGACATGATGTTGCTGTCCTTTGACCATCCGTATTAATTGTTCCTGCCATCGCCAAAACATACGTATTTGGCTCGATCGAGCCCAGTGTTGCACTGTTGTTAGAATGGAAGCTGATTCCTTTTGCAAACGTGGTTTTTTACAATGTACAGTATATGTATAAATAATTGCACGAATATGATCCCCATCTCCTCTCAAGGACTTAAAGACCTCTTATCTCCTGAGTTACAGACTTGTTGTCGTATAGTACTCAAATATCAACAATGATGAAAAACTATTGAGCACATCAAGCACATTTCAAAAAGTGTGTCCTTCGTAATAAATATTTCAGTTTGACAATACAAAGCAATATTGGTCAGCGATTACCCATACATAATTGATGCAAACCTGGAAGTTGTCTGCTCGCAAAACCGGGATCAGAGAAACCAACGCCCGTATTTATTCTTCGTCTCAGTGAATCGAGAAACCTTGCACCTAACAATGTATATTGAAACGATGTCTCATAAAACAATGGGCGGGTTTTTCACGAAAAGTTCATTTCAAGGCAAAAATGTAGCACTGAAAGCACTGAATGTGATAAGAAAAGATTAAAATTATAAGGAAGTAAGGCTAGGCATGCTTTCACTCGCACATAAACATGCGGCGGGCGACTTGATGTTGCTGTCCTTGGTTATCATACATCACGTCAATGTGATCGCGATGGTGCGCTTTGAGCATCCGTATTAATTCTTCTTGCAATGAAAAGAGCATACATGTTTGTCTCAAGCCTTGCCTTACAGTGTTGGTAGAATGAAAGTTGATTCCCTTTGCACAAACTACGTGGTCATTTGCAAAGTACGGTGAGTGATTTTGGGTGATCACATTTGTGCTAATTGCACGAATGTGATCCCCGTATCTTCACTAGGACTCAAAGACCTCTTGTGTCCTGAAGCTACAGCATTATTGTCGTAAAGTAGTCTAGTATTACCAAATGCTGAAAAGCCATTTATTGTAGCATGCACCTGTACAAAGTGTCTGTCTTGCAAAATAAATGTTTCATTGTCTCTATACAAAGTAATATTAGTTGACTGCCACTTGTACATAATTGATACAAACCTGGAAGTTGTCTGACTGCATAATCAGGATCATAGAGACCAACGCTGGTATCCGTTTCTCGTCTCAGTGAATCCAGAAACCTTCCACCGAACAATATATATTAGAAAAGATTCGTTGAAAGACATATCGCTTGCAAGTTACGTAATGAGTCCTGCACATACTTGTTAATCGAAAAAAATTGAATTGCTGATTCGCAAGTCGTGGGATAGAATCCCGGCTGTGGCGGCTACATTTCTGATGGCGGCGGAAATGTTGTAGGCCCGTGTGCTCAGATTTGAGTGCACGTTAAAGAACCCCGGGTGGTCGAAATTTCCGGAGCCCTCCACTACGGCATCTCTCATAATCCAATGGGAGGTTTAGGACGTTAAACCTCACATATCAATCAGTACCGGTAGTTTGCACGCAACAGTCTGAGACTTTATGCTCCCACATGCCTTTTGAAAATATTATGACGATGTTTTCAATTGATTGTGAATACATTATTTTGTGAAAAGCGTGCACTAGGTGTTAGATATGTCACCACAACTTTTTTAAGTATTCGCTCGGACAGTTTGTTTTGATACTGGCTTAACAACTCTACGACCTGTGTCTACCTAGGAAAACGACCTTTACGTTGTACAAATGCTCGGCATCCTGAAAAATACGCCCCCTCTTCCACGAAAAGAAATCGTGAGGAAGTGCGAATCAATTGCGTAGCGTTTATAACGGTGGTTCGCACTTAAGAATTCAGAGTTAGAAGAATATTGTTTTCTTTTTTTTTTACATCGTGCTTCCCATGACGCCATCCGCCACACGTGGCATTTTCCTGTCGCGAAAAACACGATACTCTTTTCCAGCTGTTGTAGCTAGCATGCTCAGTCAAAAAATACTACGAAGTAAATGAAATGAACAGCGTTCTCGGCTCGGCGTCGGAGTTTCCTAGCGGCGTCTCGAGCGCACATTTCCGGATGTTTTTCAGAGGCACCCAGCCAGCGAACGGTTGAGAGTGAGGCGCGAGCTGACGGGAGAGTGGGGCGCTAGGAGGAGAGAGGGTAAAGAGCGAGATAAAGAGCGGCAAAGCACTGTACTTACTCTCCCACACTCTCTTGCACTACATGCTCCGGTTTCTAGGGGCAGGAATAAGTGCGCACGCCCGCAGCTGTTGCTATGGGAGAGAAAGTAAGAGTGGAGAGATAACACCTGCCCACGCGCGGACACCGCCGCGGACGCCGCAAAAAACGCTGGTTGCCTGACATAGCTTAAGAAATGCATTCGTATCAAAAATATGCTCGACAGCCACAATCGTTCAAGAATATTTGTTTGCTACTAGCATTTCTCAATTACTTTAATGCCTGCGAGCCCTATTTTTGGGGTTTTTTTTAAGATCAACTGTTTTTTGTGTAATAACCAAATTCGACAGTGTTATTTTCAGATACTGACCAGTAACTAGCAAATAATACACGAGAAAAATACATGCTTTGCAAAAGTTTACTAGCTTTTACAGCGAATACACTAATGCCTGAAATGTCGAAAAAAGAAGACTATGTTTTTGTTCGACCAATCAGGTTTAAGCTGTTCAGCCGCGCCAATTTTACTCTCCGTGCATGTCCATGTGAACCAACGCAACTCCTATTCATCAGGTTTAAACCCTTTCACCAACGTTTGTGCACCTCTTGTCTATGATCAAAAAAGAGACGGAAAAGGCGGATTGTAGCTTTTCGCTTTGAAGATGCATCACACGAGCGATTTCAGCTACGTTTTAGTGTCAGTGAATACGCAGAGACCTGCTTTGACTATTAGTTACTTGGTGTTTGATGAAGGTACCGAAGTTATGCTTCACACAACTTTTTTATATTCATCGGTCAACAAGGAAATGAGCGGTATTATTGTTAGGCGACTTGCGTAGACATAAACCATACGCAGTAAATAGGTTACATCAGTGAAGCACTTTTCATTGCTTATACCAGGAACTTGCCAGAAAATTACGATGATGATGTGGAACACAACAAGGCTCTTCACTTCTTTTTTTTGAGCTTCTGTTTCTACGAGCTCAGGACGAGCAGTGTCAGGCAAGCACGACAGTGTCTTTTCGAAAGCAAACCTTTCCGCCTGTCTCCCAGACGTCAAAAATATGTCCAGCCACCTGTATGAAGATGTTCTCGATGGAGTGTTTGTATCGCACGTAAAGGCCCTTCTTCAAGTGTTCTTGTCATCATGCCGTACAAGGCTACCTACGAAAGACCAGACAATGTGGTTTTGTTTCAGTGCGGTCCGCACTCACGTCTTCTGAATAAGCAGAAGCCTGAAAGCTACAAAAAGGTGTAAAACAGAAAAAAAAGAGGTCAGTCAACAGATTGTGTATAAAGCAATGAAACAAAAAACATGTTTAGCTCTCGAACTCAACGATTTCTTTGTTGACGAGCGGTTATGCTGTGCTGCCAATTTCGCAAACTAACAAATTTTATATTTGGCATTGAGGGTCATTTGGTTTTGAGTTCTCTTCTAAATTGCCTCTCGCTGTCCAACAACGTAAGCTCGTGCTAACCTGAAATAACGGGATAAAAACTCTATAGAAGGCTTAGAAGTGTGGCGGTTTGGGCTAGTTGGTATGACATTACGATAGTTATAGCACGAGAACAGAACGACGACAACAGGACAAGAAGGAGGCGAGCGCATAGAAGACGTTGGTGACGAGCCTGTGTCTTAGACCATGACAGTTTTTTCGCCAACAAGGAAGTTCTTAGTTTTTCGTTCACCTTTCCAGCTTTGGGCAAGAAGCAGTGTGTGAGAAGTTTTCATTCGTAGTTACTACTAACTGCCGTTGAAAATCGGCTCCAAAATGAGTGCCACCAAGATTGGATGAGAAAATGCAGGAACAAATATTGCACATCTTCGAGTACTACAGCATTCCTACTGACGCAGCTCCTGTTTCTCTCATGGTTCTATGCAGCTCGCGGGGAAGA